TTACACAATGTGGGTTGATACAGAAGAATTTATCATTTCCTGACTTTCCTAAGCTACTGAAGACCAAAATCTGAGGAGATCCTTTAGAGAACAGAGTCAGTAACAGGTACCACAACAACTCGGGTTTTTTTGGGTGGATAGTATACAACAAACATACATCTAATTGTATGTCTCAAATCAGCTTTACTATATTGTCTCTAGAGATTTTCAGAGGTATTTAGGCACCCAGGTAAACACCCGGAGACTTTACAAGTTCTCTCACACCGAAGCCCTTTCTATGCATAACCTATGTCAATGCTTTGACCTTTATCTTGCCACATCACAGAAGATTCCCAGCAAATGCCCTTTCAAAGATGGACTCCTTGTCTGCTCTGCTAGCCAGCCAAATACCCCATCCCACTACAGACATGACAAAGTCACAGCCCTGAAGGTGGAGTCTCAACAGGGGGAAATTTGTTCAAGGACACCTTGGGCTTTCTATTTTTGTTTTTTTAATCCTAGGCTTCTCTGGTTCATGGGCAGTGAGAGTTACCCTAATAACCTTTTCAGTCATTAGGCAATTTTATTTTTATTTTTAGCAAGCACTTTATTGTCATTCTGCAAGGAAATTCAGCACAGAGGATCACCCTAAAGAGTAGGCTCAGTTTCCCCATGTGCAATGTTCTGCTTTTATTTAAACCTGAAAGCAGGTTTTAGGTTCCAAAATCTAAGAAAACAGATACTGAATAAACCAATGGAGTGGAACATATTTTAATTAGCACATAAGAAAATAAGGAAATCAGCAAATCCCAAAGTTTTTTTATATAACCCTAGCCATTACATTTCTGTGGCATGTTTGCTTTCCATTGTAATAAATACAGGGAGGGTTCTGGATAGACATATCTACAAGGGAGGTTAATATGATAATTGCCTTTCAGTCCTAGGGTAAATAAAACACTCTACGAGAAAAAGGTTTTGCCCTCACTAGCCTGATGCGGCTGCTCAAGACCACTGTTTCACACCACAGTCTCACAAACATGTTAAACTGGTGTTGCCTATGTAGAGTCTCACTCCATTCTTCCTGCAGCCACTCTGCCTCCTCTGCATGTACTGCCACAAGTGTTTGTGTGGCTGCACCATGCACCCACACCACCTGAGCACCTGTGCTGGCAGAGGGGAAAAAGAGGGTGGGACCTGTCCTTCTGCCAGCATTTCTGGCTTAAAGCTTTTGTTGGGTCACAACATTGAGCAAATTCATGGGAAAACAGGGGAAAGGTTTCTTTTGAAACCTGCTGAATCTAGTTTCACAGCACAGCTCCTGCAATGGAGAAGACGAGATTCCACAGTGGGGTAGATGAGAGCCTTTCTGTAACACCAAGGAGCTTACTGAACCATTCAGAGACACAAGAGGGTAGAATAGCAAACTGCTACTCTTTATGAGTTTGTATGTAGCTGGTGAATTTTAGTTCTGTAGGTATTGAAAGGGTGAAGTTCCTGGAGGACTCTTATATTTTATTACATGTTCATAACTTCCATTTCTCAGAAAACTAATTTATTGTCAGGATTAGAAAAAGCAGCTTTTGGTGATGTCAATGGAGTCTGAACTGCCAGGTACAGCAAAGGCACCATTATCAGAGAAGTCTGTGTTAAGCAGACTAAGCTTTATAACAGCCCTATGCTTGTCAGAACACCTGTGATGGGACTTCACGCAGAAAAAAGCTGCTGTGACTGAGTCACCCATTGGTGGTGGGAGCTGCCATGAGTCAGGACTGGGGTCACACCTCTTGGCTCATGGCCATGTGTTGGCACAGCGGACTTTGTCCCTGTGGCCCGGTAGGGATTCGCCCAATGTTGTCACATGCTCTTGCCTTACCTAACCTCAGCCCAGCACTCTGGCTCCTCCTCTACCAGTGTCTCCATCCTGTCTGCTCCTCTCCACTGCTGACCTTTGCTATGGGCAGGCAGGACTGGGGCTGCAAACCTGCCTTCAGCTGAGCTTTCTTCTCAGCAGCCAACCAGAAAACATCTGCTGGCATGCTGCTCCCAAGCTACTGTGTCCCAGCCCGGTTTGGGGTGACTTAAGTTATGTTGCTAGTCTAAGATGTGCTTCTGCAGTGTGGGAAACAGGATGGATTTGCCTGTTATTCCACCAAACGTTATCTAAAACACAGGCAAGCCCTAGAGCTATGTCTATACCAAGTCACTTGCACGGTGCAGAAACAGAAATGTAACATAAGTGACTATTGAGAGGAACTTTGCAAACCCTGTGGTAAAACCACTCATCCTAACCAAACATGCTTAAATGGTAAAAGGGCATTTTCACCTCTGTGGCTGCACCTGGGCTGGGGCCTAGCACTGGTGTGGGGCTCTTGGGCATCATCTCCCTGAATGCCAGAGCTGCCCAGGTCACCCTGTGGGGTAAAGCCAGCCTAATTAAACTTGAAAGTGTTCAAGGGATGTGTTAATGGGTAGCTCTCAGTAATCACAGGAAGGTGATTTTTACAGGACTACACTTCTGCTATATAACACTTCTTTCTCAAAGAAAGATCTCAGAGCGCTGTTGACATAACTTACCTCGATAGATATTTGACAAGATAAAACAGGCAAGGTGTCTGTGATTTTAAGGACCACACATAATAGCCAAAATATTTGGGAATGAGAAGAATGGTCTGAATGGCTGTAATTATTAAATCCATTAGTTAAATTGGTCTTTCCCTTCCTCAGTAAAGAAAATGTCTTGAGGCATTGACATTATTTAAGCGGGAGATGTGTCTCGTTCAGGATGCACCGAAGCCCCACATTTCCGATCTCTAAGGGAAGGTTTGTATTTTCAAGAGGACATTTCCAAACTGGCAACAATCAGATCCTTAAGTTCACATTTAGAAGCTGCATGAAAAGGTCCTGAGAGAGGGAGATACTTGAACTTTGGCTAAAGGAGGGGCTGGAGACATAAAATGAGCTCTTCTTAGCAGTATGTGCACTCTCAGCTCTGCCTTATTCATCTCTCATTTCTTATTATCTGCAGGGTGGATGCATGTAGACCCTGGAACTGCCTGAGGTAGGGACTGTAGTGGGTAAGGCCACCATGTTTTGGTGGGGAAGGAGAAGATTTCATCTAAAAAGTTGTCTGCTGTGCTGCCTCTGGGTTCAGGGAAGACATCCTAGCATGTTTTTTTTTAGCAGAGATGTCACCCATGGGAACTACTGTCCTCAAATGTTGGGCAGAAATAATGCTCACTATGCACCTGAGATATGAGCTGTCTGCAAGGAGACATCTACAACTGAACAGGAAATTACAGCTTGTCAGTGGGTTAAATGAGTGACAAATGACCATAATCCTGCAGAGATACTCTCTTTTTTTTGGAAAAAAACAACCAACCAACCAACCAACCAAAACCAACAAACGCCCTCCCAAAACCCCAAACAAACCAAACCAAAATTAAACAAAAACAAACAAGCAAACAATTAAAAATCTTCTCAAAACTTTAAAAGGTCAGTGACTTCGCCCTTCTTAAAAACAAGCAAGGTAAACTCTTAAAGGAAGTACATTTAATCGGTGGGAATACATACAGGTTACATTTTAAAGGTAAGAATGTTACCAAATATACAGAGAAAGAGATGCTCCATGCAGTCTCCATGCAAGCTAAGATGGTTGAAAGCTGACCTTTCTAGCGCTGTGTGCTTTCTTCAGAGCACCACTGGAGGTAAGCAGAGACTTACTTTTAAAGACGTTGCCCTTCCTATTACATTGCTGGAGAGTATTCCAAAAGAAAAATGAAGACATTTTTTGCAGTTCGTATCAGTCTTACCCCACCTGTTTCACCAGTACATGATCTAGCACAGAATCTCCGAATATGAAGATGTAATATATTGTTGTCTAGTACATAGATTAATGTGGCAACAACCAGGTTGTCACCTCTCCTTCACCTGTCCAAATACTTAGACTTTCACATCACTCGTGAGGTCTGAATTTTCTATCTGTAGAAGGAACTATTTGCTCTGTTTGTGTTTAGGAGTGTATGTAAAGAGGTGGTTGAAATTTTTTTGGTGTATAAGTTTATCTGAATGAAGCCAATACATTCATGGTGCCACATCATCATGCTCGACATGCACAATGTTACATCAGGGATTTAATTTGACTTCTCATATGTTTCATGGTATGAAACTGGTGTTATGTACAAGACAGCGCATTCCAGAATATGCAAGTAAAGCCATCAGGTGGTGAGGTTTGCCTTGTTTTAATTTCTGGCCTTTGAAAAATGAAGCAAAACCTTTTTCTGAAGATGTGCCACAAGAACAATGAAGAGTAGTAAGGTCATATTGAGGTCATACTGAGATTCCTTTTCTTTGGAAATTCTCGATTCTTTTGGGAAAAATTATTGCTAAAAGTGAAATATAAGTGGATTAAAATTGCCTTTCACATAATTTCTTAGAGTATATCGATGATGCCAGCAAAATAAAAGTAATTTCTTTATGCTGTCACTAAGCTACATCATTTCAGAGAGGAAAAAACATAATATTTTGACTTTGTGCATTTACTTCTGAAAAGACCATTTTATACACTTGAAAAGGTTATTTTTGGTCTGTTATTGATTGCCTTAGAAGATTAAACATAACATTAAAAGAGCAATTGAGTACAGCGTGAGGGTTGCTGTACATGCCATGTGCACCTCCGCAGCACAGAAGAACGCAAACTGAAGAACAGAACCCTCCAATGATTGCCATTTGTAACAGGGGTGCTCAGTTGTGCTCAGAGCATAGTCAGCTTCACAAAAGGAAAAGCTTTCCCATCTAAAGCATAAGATAGTCTCCTGCACTTAGTGACCAAGAAGACAGATTTCTTTGAAACAGGATCTTCCATAACCACCTCCCCTAAGAACACTTTCATTGCGTTTTAGGGATCTACTCCTTCCTAAGAGGCTGAAACAGGTGTCTCACTGACCAGGCTCCCTCTGATCCCTTCTAAATACCACAGGAAATATAACCATGACCATAATACTGTCACGAGGTACGTTACTAACCTACACGTTGTTCCTCAGCCAGCTGGCAGAAGTAGGCTCGTGCCCTGCTAAGCCGTCGTACACCTGGTGCCACTGTCACCGTCGCGCCCCCAGCTCCCAGCCGTCCACTGCTTTGAGACCTCAGCCAGGGACTTTGTAGGTCACAGAGAAGCAGCAGGACAGACCTCGTGCTTTCAGATGCTCTTTTACTGAAACTATCAAGGGAACCTAAATCATTACAACCCTAATGATGACTGGAGCTGATTAAAGGGCACTTTACAAAAGGTTCCTCCCTGTGACCGTGTTTTGCCAAGAACAACCAGCTCCTCTCCTACCTCAGCTGACCAAAGGTTAGCACGCCGAAGTGAGCAAAGTCCAGCAGTAGCTCATGGTTAAACGGCTAAAGGCACTCTGGCTTACAGCAGGTGCTCCAGCAGTAAAACTGCTGTGACACTCAAAGCTCACAGATAGAAACTACTGTAAAATTTGGAAGGGGAGGGAGTGCATTTTGGCACAGAAGACAAACAGCATTTGCTGCTGTAACTGAACAAACAGGCAATAAATAGACTCATTGTCTTTGCCGAAGTTAATTTCCCTGTTTGCACATCCTAACACTTATATGCTGTTCCTGGTTTTGCTGAATGTGCGGTGTTCCGATCCTGGTTTCCTAAAAATTGTCCCACACCATGTCCCCCTCTCTGGGCCTACAGACTTGTGCCATGTCTGCCAGTCTTCCATCTCCACATTCCCGTTTGTGGACCTGTGGGCCAGCTGCAGCCAAGCCACTTGTGGGTGGAGAGAGGTGTCAGAGTTCATGCAGACTTGGGGAAGCAAGACTGAGAGAGATTACATTTGTATGCAGCTGAGGGAGAGGCAGCCAGAGCTGAGCTTTTCCTCTACCCTGAGAAGCAGTGGCCAGCAGAGCTCTAAACTGTGCAGGTGAGGGCACACACAACCCCCAGCAGTCACACAGCCTGCAGAACAGGGTGCAAAGAGGAGCACAGGAGAAATGCAAAGGTTGGGAGGATGGGAGTTGCTGGGGACATGGGCTAGAGCTGGAATTGCTCTGCATTCCTGTGGCAATATTGTAGAAAAGGAGATTTAATAAGTTGTGTTATTCATAGATTGGCCAGCTATGATATTAAATCCTCCAGTCCTTGTCTGTGAAATTCACACTGAGATAAATAGGAACTAAGCATGCTCAAGAGCCTTTGAAGACTATATGGGTGCCTAGATACTGGCCTGGGGAGGTCTGATTTTAAATACTCACGTCTTAAAACAACAACATAAAGAATAACTTCTGCCTTTCAGACAGAAACTTTAATTACTATATTGCCCAAGTCACAGAAACCTTATCTAAAAAAGCAGAGTTACTTTCTAACCCTGAGTAAAAATCAATTTTCCGAGACTATGCTGCACTTTCATTTCATTAAGCACGTAACATTTTTTAACCTAGACCTAAAATGGTCGTTCTGGCTTTAAAAACACTAACTTTAGGCTTCCTTAAGTATACTATAGATACAAATGTAAAGTTACTGGAATGCCACAGAAGAAATAATGAAAACATCTAAAAGTGTGGCCTAGAGCAGAGAGAGAAAAAAATGGATTTTTACACTTCTGAGACAGGAGGACAGGTATGGAAAATCCTGGGTGCTCTTTTTACTATTCTCAGTTCATTCATAGAAGCATTGTCTCCAGAGAGAGCACCTTTCTTTCCTCACCACCTTCTCAAAATGAAGACAATGCACAGAAGGAATATCTTGAAGGAGAAACTGTTTTTCTCTTATCTTTTTCCATTTTTCAGTTGCTCTTTATAATAGTGCCTAATTTTAAGGCAATAGTAACACAAGAGACATACTCAGAAAGAGCTGACCTTCTAATGAAACAAGGAAGTGACACCTAGGACAGGTAGAAATCCGAAGAGTAGATGATGTCTTCTAATAAGGGAACAATCCCAATAGTTGTCTGCCTGGTGGTTTGGAACCCCCTGACAGCTAATGTACTGTACACTACTGTGCCTTTATTTCAGCAAAGGGAAAACCCACTTTATTTATTATCCCATTATAGGGCTTTGTTTCTGATGTCCTCACACTTAAAAGAAGCAAAAACACCAAAACAATGTACTGTTTAATATCAAACAATACTCTTGTTTCTCATCAGAACAGGAAAGCCAACACTTCCTCAATTGCTCAGCCAGAACGAATATAATTACACAGTTAGACTGGCCTTACCAAATAAAATAAGGAACAGCATGAAAGTAGGGAAAATTTATAATAGGAGCAAGGGGAACCCATCAGTACCTATTAGGATTTTCTCTAAGTGCTTGTCAAGCTAGGAGCACAATGCATTATAAAACCTGGTGTCAGTTCTCAGCTCAGAAAGGGGAACCAGCAGTTGGAGCGGTGGCTTGGGGAAAAGGAACATGTTGCAGTTCACTGCAGAGTGGCACACAAGCTGCACCTGTTGTAGCTGGGGCACAGGTTGCTGCTGGGGTCTCACAACTCAGGTAGGTTCTCTGCCTTGCTTTGGAACAGTTCTTTTTCTGGGTTTGGCCTATAAATGACATATTGGACATGAAAGTTCTATTGAAGCTGTGAGTTCTTAAAAGAACACTTTTGGTTCTAATCATGTATGCTCTCCACCAGACCTGTGGGTTTTGTTTTTAAAAAAATCTCAACAAGCTGTAACATAAGCCCATAACCCCTATTTAGCTCTTGTTTATTTAGGAGGAACTGCAGATACTCCTAGAGGGAGGAGATTCCTGGTGAAGTGCTGGGCCACTGCCTGTGCTGCACCTCCATCTGACCTGTGAGAGAGCCTGTCCTGTCCATTCCCAGCCGATGAAACCCTCTGCCTGCTTTGATCCCTGGAGCAGCTCAGGGCAGTCCCATGCCCTCTGCACATCAGCACCATGTGATAGCTCAACTCTCCAGGTCATTCTCTGTCCTGGTCTACTGAGCATCCACACTGTATCAATGCTCACTTTTGGGTCTTCTTTTAGAGAGAATCAACCTATTCTTCCTGAACAAAGTCCAAATATGGCCCCAGGGACAGACAAAATGGATTAGCTACTCCCAGGTGTGGTTGCCTGGGCTGACGCAGAGAAGTCTTCCGAGAGGATTGCTGCACTCACCGGTGACCCTGTGTGACACACCTTCAGTTTGATGACACCCTCTGCTACACTTCAGGAGCTGCCAGCAAACTAAAAGCATATGAGAAATTATAACTGTCTTAGGACTAGGAGGGTCATGACAGGTGCTAGAGAAGACACAGGGCACATGTTATGTGGAGCCACCCTGCTCTGGAGGGGTTAGCAGAGCACCCACAGTTTCTGATGTAAATAATAAATTTATATCAATTTAAATTAATAAACTTTCTGCTACCTACTTTTTGTTTTCCCTTAAGCAACACAGCATAGTTAGTAAACATTCTTGGTTACAAAAGTTACTCTAAACCAAAACAATGTCCAGGAGGCAAAATTAACTTTAAAATCTGAGGCACAAGCTGCAAATGTTTGGTGTCATACCTCCAAATGACTTTCTGTGATCCTACTGAAATCTGCCAGGAAAAACCTACCCTGGGCTCAGATGAGGTGAAACTTGTTTTCCTTCTGGTTTCTCAGAAGTGGAGTAGTTATATGAAATGTAGGCCTACAGCTAAAAGGTTATTTAATTTATAAATGTGAAGAAACTTGCATCTAGCATTGAAGTATTTTAAGGGAGGTGTAAACACTATTATACACACCTCCATGCCTGCCCCCCTCTCATGGACAGTTGCAGTACAAGTGGTTAAAAAAACCCCTACACAAATGGAAATGGAATCTTCCCTAGGAAGAGACAGGCAAGCAGAGAAGACAGAGGCACATCATGGCACAGCCTGCTGTTGAGAGCCTTAAATCACCAAACAATAGGAATAAAATACTGTGCCATGACACCCAGCTTGCACAGAAAGGATCCCACTGCTAGTAGGTGAATGGAAAAGTCATATTTCACAAGCAGATTTCAGCAAAGAGGTCATGCTTTGGAGATGAGAGGCTGAGCAAAAGAAGAAACAGGCTATTTCTAAAAGTCAAGCCAAATGCTTGGAGAAAAGCTTTTGAAAGGGAGCCGCCAGCACAGCTGTGTTTATGGGTCTATTCATCCAGTGAGTAGCTGGCTCATAGATTTTGAGTGCAAGTAATGATTTAACATCATGACCCAAGCAAGAAACTGGAACACTCCAGAAACGATTTTGGCAAGGGTGTACTTCATGAGTCAGAGTGTCCTGTTACCTGATGGCGTGTTTTTGCATGGTGGGAGCTATTTTAATTGCTGTATAATAATCTGAGAAGCTGTGAAAGGTTGAATGCTTCCCCCTTCAGTATCTGCCCAGTCAACACCCAACGTGTTTTTGCATTGTGTCCTCCTTAGCAAGGCAAAATTGCTGTCTCTCCATTGGACCTATGTGGTCATACACCTGGGTATGGAGCCACCATGCACATGCCCACCAGACAGTTGGGACTGTGAGCTGGTCTGCAGCTCTCCTGCCCTTTGCTCTGTATTTTCCTTGCTTTTAGGACTGGGGAAGGGATCTCGTCTTCCAGATATTCGTGTCTGTCTTTTTTCATGTGAGCAGTCAGAGGAATAAATGAGAAATAAAGCATGTTTGTGAATCAGAAATAAATCCTGTTTGAAAGCTGACTTGAACAGATGATCCAGATTGGTACATTTGTTCTAGTGATGGTTTTCTTAAAAAACCTCAACTCCTAGCCTCTTTACTCGATCCCTCATTAATTAAAAAAAAAAAAAAAAACAAAAAACTTGACCTTATCCATCTCTTACTGATAGAGCTGACAGAAGACTTATACACACTATAAATCAAGTATATGACTACAAACTAATATTCCAAAATATTTTTATAAGCAAACAGGACAATCTATTGCATATAAGAATACCATCAATGTAATATGCTAATTTGAGGTCTCAAAAAGCTGCCCTCACAGTTAAAATATTTCACATTTATAAAGTTGCTTAATTAAAAAAGTAGCATGTTTTTTGCTTTCCCGATCAGATGAAAGTTAGATCTAGAATGGTCAAAAGCCAGTTGCTGAGCTATGTGCAACAGGTTTTCTGTCAGGAATTGCTATCTTCTCTAATACCAAAATTCCACCTGCAGATATTGGAGTATTGAGTATTAACTCCCTTCCAGAGGCCAGGTGATCAGATGCATTAAAGAGGAGGAGCAGTGGGAGGTTGCAGTCACTGATTTGCTTGAACATTTGTTCGTTAG